ACAAGGTTTTGTCATCATCAGGTACCTTGTCGAAACGTTGTACATTTGATGTTGTGTTAAACTTATATTAAAGTTTTTCTTCATTACCCATTCAAGCCGTCTCCAGCCATTATTAGTCCCAAAGTGGGTTCCTCGTCATCGAATTTGATATTATAACATGTTTCACAACCAGCCTTTATAAACTCCTTCAAACACACTCAGCAACCAACCTTGTGAAACTCATTCAAACATGCTTTATTAAACTGTTGAATGAAACTGCTTAGTTATAAAGTTTTCTTTGTTTATTGAATTTGGCACAAAGCTGCTCGGGACTAGCAGTGTCAAGATTGGAAGTGAAATAGTAGAGGAAAGGCAGCTAGTCAAACCATCGACAGTCAAAACCTTGGTTTATTCTTTACTCACGAACTGCGGGATTGGACGCCACATTATAATAACCCCATGGCTGAAATGGTCAGCATGTCCAGTAACGGAGTTAAATTTCTTACGAATCAAACCATCAGGTCATGTCAGGCCCAATTATGAAAGCAAACTGGTTATTAAACTCTTATATTTGACTGTTTGTTTTTGAATTTCGCGCAAAGCTACACGAGGTCTATCTGCGCTAGCCGTCCCTAATTTAGCAGTGAAAGACTAGAGGAAAGGCAGCTAGTCATCACCACCCACCGCCAACTCTTGGGCTACTCTTTTACCAAAGAATTGTGGGATTGACCGTCACATTATAACGCCTCCACGGCTGAAATGACGAGTATGTTTGATGTGACGGAGATTCGAACCCACGACCCGCAGATTGCGAGTCGAGCTCCCTAACCACCTGGCCATTCCGGGCTATATTTGACTGTATGATGAGACTGTAGTATTGAAAGGAAGCCGGTTATTAAACGGTTTTATTAAACACAAAACATGTTTTAGAATATTGCACTGTTGATGTTTACACGATTTATTTGCTACTTTTATATTTTGTGTTGACAAAAGTCTTTTAATGTTTTCAGAACCTTGTAGGTTAGTGTGAGAACGCAAGTAACATAGAATAAATACACAAAACCAGGTTGCCCTTACAACCCGAATACACAAAACCAGGAGGACTTTAAAGCCTGAATACAGGTAACCAGAATGACTCTACAATCCGAATACACAAAACCAGGAGGACTTTAAAGCCTGAATAAACGTAACCAAAATGACTCTACAGCCCGAGTATGCAAACCTGAGTTACCTCTACAGTTAAAGTTTAAAGTAATCGTAAGAAATCTAGAAATTAACTGATGTGTGTTTAGTCTAAGTTTGATGGTGCCTAATGGCTGCGGTTCTCGGGGTTCCACACTGAATCTGATGGTGCCTAATGGCTACGGTTCTCGGGGTTCTACACTGAATCTGATGGTGCCTAATGGCTACGGTTCTCA